TGGTGTACAATGCGAACGATGGATTACCCACAGGCATTTCTACTGTCGGTTTTCGAACCAACAAATTCACCCCGAAAGAAGCTGGCATAATGCGAGATCAGCGTTACGAACAGAGCGATCAAAATCTGAATTTATCCCAACGTATTCGTGGGGATTCGAACGACCTGATCGCGGAAACTAATGCGTTGACCAATAAAAATATGAACGCGGTGACGCATCGTTTGAAAGAACGACTGAAAGATACGAATTTTTGGAAAACCGAATTGGAACGTGAAATCACAGATGTGCTGGCTGTGACAGAGAAAGTGCTCCTTAGAAAACGGGAACTACAAAATGCTTTGATTGCAGTGGACGAGACAATGCACATATGTACGGACAATTTGAATGCTCGTCGAAGGCATAGCGGGGAAGATTTGCAACAAGACGATGTAGAACGTGAGCTAATCAAAGTGAGTGCTTTTCAACGGATAGTAGCATAAAGTCAGTGCTTTCAGGGCGAATAGAAATTTAGGTCTGAACTAATCAGCGCGGCAAGAAATCATCAAGTCGTCTAACGCAACAAACACTGGAATATGGAAATTGGAAATCTGATCTCATCGTCAAATTCACCTTAAAAATTCATCGCGACAGGCCTTTTGTGGATGAAATATGCCCAACCAATCACTACATTATGAATGAGGTGGTACACAGTACAATTCGATGTAAAACCTGATGCCAGTGATGATGAGAATGTTTTAAAAAATTGAAAGTATAATTTCGACCAAGCAAGCTAGAGTTGAAATTAGAGTTTTGAAATGTAGATAAGCTATAAGTGCATTCCGCGGGTGCCCAATTCGCACAGCCATCCCATTCGAGTCTGGTTGGATCGGACTCCGTTTGCACCCGAAAGGGGACTCCTCCCAACGGGACTCGGATGGGACTTAGATAGGACTCGATAGGACGGCTCTAGAAAGGACTACCCTACATTGTAATGTACGAAGCTTACCTTTCTCCACCCTCGCGGAAGCTTATCTAGGACTAAGATAGACCAACGTATCTGTAATTCACCCCAAAGATAGCGACTCATGCATTGTCCTACTGGCAAATAGCAAAATCCACAGTTGACGTTTACAACTTCAACACCTCCCCTCTATATAAATATAACAAGTAATATCAAAGGTATACATAAATTCGTATTTAAAACAAAAAAGCTTGTAACAAAAATCTCACTAGATAGCATTCCGATAACCCTCCGGGGTGAATTTCTATGTCAGATTCTCTTCGGTGTTTCTTTCCTCGGGCGTTCTGAATCCACCTTTGTATTCGGTCACGCACTTCGATATGAGTTTCACGCTGTAAAGCCTTTTCCATGATACATTCTATATATATGTGCATAATTATGTATTGAGATGCACTTACCACGGCAGTTGCAGTTGGTGCACATTGTAGATCGTTAGCATATATTTCAGCCACACCTGTTAGCGCACAAAATGGTCATCTTGTGCACGTTCTGTTTATAATATTTGCTTAAAAGTACTCGTAAAATTTGTATGATCACAAAATAAACTATTGTGAAACTGACGAATTGGCTTAGAAAGCGGACAAGCGATGTAACATTAAATTGTATTGTTCGGTAGTATTGTTTTATCAGTGAAATGAAAAGGTAGATAATCTGTAATTTCCAAAGTAATGCGTATTTTGATTGATTATCCCACACCACCACCCACAAGTGTGAAGTAAATGCGAATAATGTGTATTTATTGATCAATCCGGATGTGCAAAGGTATGGTTGGGAAATACAGTCAATCTCCTACTATGTCGCACCCCTGAGAAGTCGCATTTTCCAATATCTTTCCACTTTTTGGAGAATCCAAACCGATCGTATGCGTAAAAACGTAGTTTCTGACCATGCAATGTCGCTCCCTCAATATATCTCAGTTCCTGATATCAGTTGGTCGTTGACCGATGTTCGGGACGGCCATTAATCAGCCACCATGCAAGGTCGCACTTAGCTGATGGCGTTTCGCATAGCGTGACGCGTTCATGACACTGTTCACTGATTGGATATTCCCTGAGGGGAATACCCACCGGTGCAAGCAATCAAAGACAGTGTTACTTGACTTCAAAATGTACGATCGACTATCGATCAGAACGTGCTGTAAATTGATGCAGTGGTCACTAAAGCCACGGCCCTTCAGTCTATCGATGGGCTCTGTCGCACTAATGTGTAAACGAGTGAACAATAATCGCGATTGACTGGTGAACCGGTGTATGGAGTAAGATGTTAAATGTCAGTTCCAAACCATTGATAAACGCAGTAGCTCGGACCCACCTGTGTTAATGGATGAATGATAATGGCACATATCCTTGTTAGAGCACCGGTGAAATTAGACAGGTCATTGGCCAAAGGTCATCGCAACACGGGTCTGATACGTCTCTGACTGTTTGAGTGATGCACTTTCAACTGGTGAATCACATGGTGAACTTAATTCGTCACTTATGTTTATCGACACTGGCCATAACGAATGTATCAATCGGTCGGAACATGCACTAGCAACAACAAAAACGTGAACGAACAATTAGACGTTTACAGAGTTAATGCTACACATTTTTCACCAGAAAATCAGGAATAGATTGCACAGCGAGCAACCACCTTGGAATATGAGAAAGAAGTCAATGTATGAGTATAGCCCGTAACAGATATTTCAATTATTTTAGATGATGTGATTTCCGTCAAATGCGATCTTTTGCCCAGTGTTCGACCTGGTTCATTCTTGTTTTCTTCGAATGGGTTATAATAGTAAAAAAACAAGTTGTACATTATGGTGGATGCCAAATGCTCAATTTTGTGGTTAGCCTAACATTGCAAAGGGATGGAGAAATATCTGGAATTAATATGCGATAATTGGGTTAGAAAAAGTTCCACTGGACAAAGGTAGGTAGGTTCGGGAAAACTAGACACATGAAACTGGAAAAGGGATGAATGCCGGATGCAATGTACTCATGTTAAACTGACGGCATCGTAAAAGAGTTCAGTATCTTGGTTACATATAGGATACGCAGCACGGTATATCTAAAATCAGTTATAACTAAACAGTAATTAATTATAAGCAGAGAGAACAAGTAACGGAAGTAACGTACTTTCATCGATCCAGCTATTTTATCACAAAACTCTCAACCGATTTTTCATACTACTTAATAGCATATACTACTGACTAATATGCTATGTAGTTCCTGGAATTTACCCACTTTTTCGAATTCCTGATCTGTGCGACATATTAGGATAGTGACTGTGTGTGAACTGACTGTGTATCGGCCGTTCAGATCAGAGAAACAAAGAGGGTTCGGGATTAGGTGGGTGGAGGGGAGATGGGAAGAAATCGTTCAGTCTAAACGCGAGAACCACGAGAACTGTACCTATTGCTAAATGAGCCTATTGTGCGAATACTGATCACCAAGTGAACCAGAATGTATTGAGAATTGCTTACTTACCTTTAAACACATTACAACTCTCCGACAGCTTCAACTGATAACAGAAAAATAGGCACGACAAGATTATTTTCTGTTCTATTTTTGCGAAAGGTAACCATTTGTCAAGTTACAAAAGTTCTCCAAAAGTAAGTACAACTCCTGAGTTATTTCATCCTAATTCAACGTGTTATAAATTCACACGTTCAGTGCCAAACTGTTTATTGAAAGAACGAACAGATTAGAGGATAAATAGGGCTAGATAGAACGAAGCATCTGCTCTGGAACTGAGCAGTCGTGTTTACATGAAAGATTTGGGTTTGAAAGACAAGTAGTCAGTCAGTTCAGTTAAGAATCCATTAGTCCACGCCAAGATATCTTACTCACTGTTAGATTTCCTGAGAAATTTCAGAAAACTGCATTATTTTAGCACAAAGAATATTATTACTCGTGTGAGTAGAACTTCATTAGAATTCGGACTGAAACCCACTGAATAGCGCAAAGTCCGGTAGAACCAAAACGAGCTATGGATACAGTTAATTCTCTTCAGAGAATCCTGCAAATAAATATAACAAGCATCAAACAATCATTCGTCGATTCTTTAATTCCCAATCCACAGCGATTGTGTGGCCTTCTTGCATTCAGCCAATCCAATTGGTGCCGCTTGAGACCACGGGATTGGTCGATGAATCCGTATATTGATTGCTTACCTTGAAGCTGTATCGTGGTGCGTGCCTACTCGTTACACGATCACCACACATACTCGTGAAAACTTTATAGATGATATACTGTAACAGTGGAACGTCTTTGTCCGATACACTTATTCTTTGCTGGGCTTTTAAGTTAGTGACAGGGAGTAAGACTTATTCGATACATAGACATATTAAAGTCGGTTTTATGGACAGTAGTACTCGCGCAAATGCTGATTATCCTTACGCGAAGAGTTTCACATTCTANTATGTCCTCACCTGTTAGTTCATTCTCTCGAATTGATGGGCCACAATCGGAACACAAAAGGCTGAGCTAAGAGAAGAATTTCATGCAATCGCGGTCACCCACTGAGGCAAGTGGTCAATCACAACAGATTGCGTAGTTTGAAACACGCGGCACTAAACAGATTGTCACGATGAACGATGTTATCCGAGGCAGATAATAGAGAATGTTAAGGATGGTCACAATACGAACTGGCATGAGAGAGTATGAAAACACTGACCAGGAGACTTGCTCACATAGGTCGCGTTAAGCTTCTTGACTGGGGACTCGGGATTAGTGTAACCGATGGTTAAACAAGTTGAGTGGTGTAAACAGTAGCGCTCGTGTACATTTTCAATTTTTCCGCAACATTAGTCGACCAGAATCCTCTATTTTCTCTTTCGCGCAGTTCTCAACACTATAATCTTCCCTCTGAAATTTTTATCTAAATGGGCAGGCAAACTGAGAGCAACCGAAATCACCACAAGCAAGCGCATGTAAAAGCGCAACATAAACTGGCACAGATCGTTAAATCATCTCCCCCTACTTCTTGAATGAGGGTGTAGTCCCCGTCTAATTAATTGTTCTTTTTGTGTGGTAAGCTTTAATCGGGTGTGGGGACCTATGTGACTAAGTAATGCACGTTTTCTGTACACCGAATGGACTGAATTAAAAAAGACACCATTTGTATTATCGCTTAGTTCTTGAAAATCCAAAATCGTGGTGGTCGAAATGTTGCAATGTTTCATGGCCAGAAGGCTCTTTGTTTTATAGATGTGCTTCTTTTTGTGCTGAACGACTTTTGTGCCATCCATATTGATGGATGAACACATCAAATAGACTTTCAAGTTGTTATTGTTGACAAACCATATGCTATTTAATGATATATTTTCAGATGATCAGTACAAAGCTTTTCCTGATGTTTGCAAAAAAAACATTGTGATTAGTTCAATGTAGCGCCCATAATCGGGAAGTGTGACAACTCTCATTTGATTTGCGTGCCATTCACGATGCACGATGAATCGGTTTTTCAGTATCTTTATTCAAGGCTCAAGCGGCA